TGCTCTAGATGAAACTGCTCCCATACAGATGAGATAACCTTTTTTTTCCCTTTTAAGTCAAAAGAGATCTTATTTTTCTATGGAACCACAAGGTTAGACCACAAGGTTAGACCACAAGGTTAGAGGTCTAGAGGATCCAACCCAGAGTGCACCTTGCTGTTTGCTTGATGAGACGTTTGATATCATAACATGATTTGTTTGGCTCCAGGGCATCATGGTCACTCTAAGAAGTACCCTGGATGACAGAGTTGGTATGCCCTTTCTACAGGGTTGGTAGGAAGAAACACACACGCTTTTAAGTTCCAAAATTCCTTCTCGAGGAAAGCTTAGGCTTTCCAGGTCGTTCCCACGGGAGCATTATGAAAACTCTTCTATCAGAGCCAGTGCTGACAACAGAGTCACCACAACCTTTGCCCATGCTGCTGGCAGTAAATGGCCGACCCGTATGCTGTGGATAAGGCATGTGGACCAACTAGACCAAGTCTGACCACAAAAAGGAACTATTGATTCCATACTGAATTGAAAGGACAGCTTCCCATAATCCTTTTGTGTTGAACTACTCAGCAGATCAAAGACAAAAACTCCCTTGCCCAATCACAAGTGCTAATAAAGATGACAAGTGTGAAATTCTTCTACACACATACTCAAGTCACTCTCAGCTCTCCTTCAAGTCTTTGTTTTCATGTGGAAGACAACACCCTGAATTCTGCCAAATGAGCAGGACCGTTCTCCAGAGGCCTAGTCAGTATTAGCAATCACTTTCGGTTTTGTCACTAACAATTACTAAACAAACATTCCTTTAACTAAGCTTTTAAAGGGTTCCTTGCAAACATGCAAAAGGCTCAAGCTTCTATACAGGAGGTATCCTAGAACCTTCAAAACAAACCACACATGCCAGACCCCACCCTGAAGCTGCAGAATCCAAATCTTGAGGGTATTATGCCTTTAACAGGCCTTTTTATTTTCGTACCTGGGAATAGAACCCAGGGCCTTGGCATACTAGGAAGTGCTCTACAGCTAATCCATACCCGTGGCCCTGCATTTTTTAAATTCAAGATCAGACAAAGGTAACAGCAGTCTGAGTTCAGAATGCCTGATCTAGAATATTCCAGTCCTCAGAGCTGTCATCTCCCTCAACTCAGAATGAACAGGTTTGGAAGATGACTTGGATTACTTTCTGAGATAATTCCAGTCTCATTTCCAGATAGCTGCCTTTGAAGCAGGCAGTTTCAGGGCTTTGTGGCACCCCTACTTTTTTCCATTCAGCCTGGGGACGACACTTCAATGCAAAACTTCTATAGGTAGCTTCATCATTTTTTTTTAAGATTTTATTTATTATTATGTATACAGTCCTTTGCCTACATGTATGCCTGCAGGCCAGAAGAGGGCACTAAATGTCATTGTAGATGGTTGTGAGCCATCATGTGATTGCTGGGAATTGAACTCAGGACCTTTGAAAGAGCAATCAGTGCTTTTAACCACTGAGCCATCTCTCCAACCCAGGTAGCTTCATCTTTGAGAACTGTTGGGAAGCAGGGTTAGTCTCCACATTTTGCAAGCAAAGATCAGGGCTACTTTTCAAAATAATGAAGATTGTAAGAGCCTTTAAGAGGAACACAGCAGGATTATGCTAAGACTGGGATGTTAATAAGGTTAATAAGGTTGATGGCCTAGTGCTTGTGGGGACTAATTTGTATGGAATGAGGAAAAAAAACACCACATTATAAAAACATCTTTTAAAAATGGAGTTACCAAAATTGCTAGCACTGTAAGACATGGAAAGAAACTCTAAGATCTCTTTCAGTAGTTTCCCTACTCATCCAGAAAAAAAGTGAAACTGAAATGCCATATTTCAAAGCATGTCCATAGTAAGCTGGTGCAGTAGCCTCTCCACCAAAAACAAAATGATATCTCTTTGCATAGTACTCAAGAGACACATGAATTCCTAAACTTATAGAAGACAGCATTTTCTACTGGATTATGTTCCATTGCTGTTCTTCTGATTCCTCATGTAGCCACTAATATTGCAGCATGCATCAGCTCAATGTCGGACGTTCTAAGTCTTAAGACTTCTTTCTATGGAGCACAACTGGCCTCACTGAGTAGAGCAGGAGCAACAGTGCAGTAAGAGCAGGCAGCTCCTTCCTGTTTCCTTTGGTGCCTGTGCTGCCTATAGGACTGCTAAAGAAGACGGTATTGACTCTGCAGCTCTGGGGCCTTGATGGAGATGTCTGTATGACAAGCAGGTGCTCTAAGACTTTCATTGCTGTAATGGGCTCCTTGGGTACCCTGACTCTGAAAACTGGATGAATGGAATAGTTTCAGGTCTGATGGCAGAAGGCAAAAATGTCTCTCAATATACCTCGGAAATAAAGATATCTCAATCAAACATATTCTCAATGGCAAATGCCTTTCTTATCAAGTATGCACAGAAGAGAATATTGACTAAAATATTCTACATGTTGATCAAGAATTGACTACTTTTAGTTTCATTTATTATACAAAAAATCTAAGAATAAAAAGATGGATAATTAAGTATAGGTTGTTTTAAACTCTGGGTAAGCTGCTTGTACTTCACAGGAAGAACCTTGTAGCTTAGAAAAATGTGAAAACACATAATCTGAAACTGGAAAGTGCTATGGGTCTCTGCAGGCCTGGTAAGCAACTCAGGGAGCAACTAGAATCTCCCAGGAGAGAAGTCTAGACTTCAGGAGAGAGGGGCTTATTACGCAAGAATAAGAATCTCCTAAAATATGAGAAAGATGAGGTATAGAATTTTCAAACTAATGTTGCAGGCTAAGCTACTCAGTACAACCACAACACAAAAAAGAACAAGAGCATGAAACCATCAACTTGTTATGAACAGGAAAACCAACTACAGCTATTATAAATTGTGCATACATAGGCTCCCAGTGAGTGGGCAAAACAGAATCCAGGAACAAAAAGGAAACTGCTTGGATGATTATAAATTGATCATCAGGAACAAATTCTAAAGGAAAATGCTGAATTTCTTCCCCCCCCCACACACAAAAGAAACACAAAACATGGCAGATGATACAGAAACTGTTACCTCAGACAGAGGAGATCACACTGGAGAGCTGACCAGGGCCAACATGTGGGACCTCCCCTGTAAAACCTCAAGAACAGCTTAAAATAATACAAGAAAGCAGTAGAGAATATTGAAATCACATTGAAAACTTGATAACCGAGTTATACAAGACACACTGAGAAGATCTGAATGATGAAGATGTAACCTCATGACAAGACTGAACTTTCAAAAACTCAAGATGCTGGAGTTACAGATTCAGCAACGTAAAGAACTGATGAAAAGAGCAGCGTTTCCAGCAGTTACTCACTACAGCATGTGATGCTGGTACTACTTCACCACCAGGAAAATAATTTTTAGATGAAGAAGCTTTCCAGAAGGCAGTTTTCATCTGGGATTGGAGGAAAAGGCATCCCATGAAGAAAGAGCCAGTTGATTAAAGCAACATTTTAAAAATAGGACTACCTTTGACCTTTGATTGTCTGATTTGGACAATCCTGGGGCACGGTCATTGGCCACAGCAAAGTAAGCCTTATAGCCTTCCAGAAGTTCTCCAGTTTGCCTGATGGATCTGCCTAAAGTCTCGCCCTCTTCACCTTCTACTTCAGACTTGAGCCAGACATAATCCTCTATATCTGAACGTAGCTAAGTATGACAAAGATAATTCCTGAAAACAGTAAACCAAATCAGGCTGTCTGGAAGAAAAGGTTCAAAAATCAGAATGGAGCATGGCAATAAGACCTAGACTATGAGAAGGTTGCTACAGGGATGTTCCTCTCACATACAAAGAGATGAGTCAGCTTTGATTCCTGGAGTTACCAGACTACACAGAGAAAGCATCAGAATGATTTTCATCTTCTAGGTATTGAAAATAGTAACAATGGAAAAGGAATTATTAAAAATATTGAAGTTTTTGTCCTAAAGATAGGTGGCTTTGGAAACTCAGCCTTTACTTGAACATATACATTTATATAATTTATGACAAATCAAGTTCTATATTCCGTTGAGTGTGATTTTGGAATTACCTCTTTTGGATGTTTCAAAATGAAATTGATGTAAAATAATAATGAAGATGTCTATCTTTTCTTTGCAGGTTATTATTCACAATGAAATTTCTTTCCTCTAACCACAGTCTGTGGCCTCTTGCATTTCTTCCTGCCTTCTCTAGATAATAGCAGTATCCATGTTCTCTCAAAGCATGTGGTAGATATACCTCAGTATAGCAGTGACCATCCAGGCAGTGGGCTCACATAGCCGCCTTCAAAGCCAGTGAGTATTGCAGTGCTATCGTCAGCAGGTTCTCAACACCTCCTGTCCTCATATTAATTAAAAAAGAACAGAACATGATTTGCCTTTAGTTTTAAACATTTCAGTAACTCTTTTATAAAGACTTCCAGAGAAGGAACTAGACTTCTTTTCCCCATACTGAAATGCTCTTGGAACCTCCCCACCACACACACACTTTTTGCGTGCTGGGGATGGAACCCAGGGTCTTGTGCATTGTAGGCAAGCACTCTAGCATTCTGTCATTGAGCTAATGCCAGCCTATGGACATGCTTCCTAATCTTCAGACGGAACAGCTAGGACTCTGACAGGCGGATGCAGCTGTGTAAGTCTTCAGAGCCACGGGCTCTACTGTCTGGTGTAACACCAGCATCTAGCACCACTGAGTCTGATTTCAGTTTCCTTTCTTCACCGTCTTTTTGTCTAACTTATCCTCCCAACTTAATGTTCCTTAAGGCCAGCTAGACTGGCACTACAGCCCCGTATCTGCCCCACATCTGCCCCACCATTGTCAGATGCTGCAGGAAGTGAAGTGAGAAACCATTAAAGCATGCTATTACTTTGTTGAACTCTGAAACAGTGTACTACTATGTGAAAAAGTGGGAATAGGTCTGCATTTGTCTTAATTTAGAGAAGTTTTAGCTCCAGCATCCAAGTTTTGGGTTAAGTTTTAAGTGATGATAGTTTCAGGGCCCAATGAAATAGAAGCATTAGTTTAAGCCAGTCAATGTCACACCTCAAACACACTGGGGCATTCGGCCATCCTCATCCTCATCCTCATGAGAGCCTCCCTGATCCTTCAGGACTTAGGGTGAAGTCATGCATTTTCCTGTAGTGGAAACACAAGGGGGGTACCCCGACTGGAAACCTTGTGATCTCCCATTCCCAGGTCTCGTTCAAACACTTCCTCCGAGCTGCTTTTTGTTCTCCGACCACCCTCGAGACTTGTGGAGGCTGTGTAGGAGCTCGAGGAGCCATTTGCTGTCACAGTGCTGTCTCCGTAGGTCAAAGTGAGGTCACCCTCCGTCAGGATGAAATCAGAGTCATCTTCTCTCAGCGGCTCTTGATTCTGAAAGTTGCAACCAATAAAAGAGGAACCTGAGATTTTCTGAAGCTGGGGCAACCTAACCCCAAATCCTCATATCAGAAAACCAAGGCTTTGGGTGGGGGGGGGGGGGGCTACAGTATAGCAGTTAAGAACATTTGTTGCTCTTGCAGAGGACCCAGGTCCAATTTCTAGCACCCAAATTAGGCAGTTCACAACTACTTATGATTCCAGTTCTAGAGGATCCAAAACCCTCTGGCTTCAGTGGGTACCTGCACACATTTAGTATGTGTACATACATATACCCAGGCACATAAATACACATATACTAAAAATACCCAAATACATATACATTAAAAAAATTAAGCACGCCTTTAATCCCAGCACTCGGGAGGCAGAGGCAGGCGGATCTCTGTGAGTTCGAGACCAGCCTGGTCTACAAGAACTAGTTCCAGGACTGGCTCCAAAGCAACAGAGAAACCCTGTCTCGAAAAACCAAAAAAAAAAAATCTTAAAAAATAAAACCTAAGGATTTTATGAAACTTGCTTACATACACCCTTGGTATAGTCACTGGATAGACACTATGGTGTTTTCAATCAAAGCAATGTTGCCTAAAGCAGGCAGATTAGATTTCAGATGCATGATAGTTCAGGGGTTATTATCTAAGAGAAGGAAGCAGGCTGGCTGCATTCTCAACTGCCCCACACATGCAGACATGATGTTACTAGGAAGGTCGTGAATAAACACTTCAAATAGGCTCTGCTTCTCTCCTACTGACTGTTTACATGTAAGCAAGCTTTTCCCCTAGACTGCAAGGGTGGGAGTGAACCATAGTGGGATTTCTTCTTTCTTTTCCCTCTACTATCTCCACTTCTTCAGCTGGATGAAGTGACTGATTGCTAGGGAGAATGCACTTTAATGAGCCTTTATTAAATACCTGCTGGAACCGTCACATAAACTGGCCTGCCAATAAAGGGCATGGGCACCAGCATCGCAGGAGGAAACCCATGCTGTGAGAACTCATGGAATGTGCCAAAAAGTTGTCCAGCTGACAAGAAGTAGAGCTAGAATTTGTGTTGCCTCCAGCCTAGTTTGATCCACATAAAAGATGTGGAAAAAATTAGTGGTTCAGAAAAAGGCTCAGAATGGATAAGAATAAACAAGGCAGGCTTAACAAGGTCATAACTCCTTGAAGTTATCAGATAGTGGGGAGAGAGTCCAGAGACAGTGCGAGTTCACACAGACTTTAGCATTCTCCAGCGGCAAAAGAAACCATGACCTTGCTCCTGTCTGTGCTGTTATCTTTCCAATACTAGAAGAGGCTTTCTCAAATGGCAAGCAGTGTGTCAGGACACCTGAGATGTTCTATCATTTCCCATCAGCCCTTCCGAACTCTTCTGAAGTCTTGTGTCCTGTGGTCTGACATCAGAACCTCTTCTATCCAGCCTCCTTAAGTCACGCTGTGCAAAACTATGGGTGCCCCCCCAGTTGGCATGTGAACTCCCCACTTCAATGATAACACCCATGGTTTTCTTCTTGTCTTCCTAAGTGATGCTTAGTTGAGAAAGGCTTCTTTAGTACAAGACTCCCAAGCCGAAATTGAGCCATAATCCAAGCTTTTTGAGTACTATCTCTACCTTTTTACAGTTTTTACTAATTGTATAAAACAACAGGTTTTATCATAACATCATGACATAATGCCAAAAGTCTCATGGTTCAAATATTGTTTCATGTATGAAATTATTATAAATATAAAATTAAGTTTAAGCTATGTGTACAAGGTATATTTGAGACATAAATGAGTTATGGTTAATGTAAATAATGGATGATGAACACCTCAAAGCTCTCCAAATAAATTTCACCTATTAAAAATAGCTGGCACATGCCTTTAATCCCAGCACTTGGGAGGCAGAGGCAGGCAGATATCTGTGAGTTCGAGACCAGCCTGGTCGACAAGAGCTAGTTCCAGGACAGGAACCAAAGCTACAGAGAAACCCTGTCTCAAAAAAAAACAAAAAACAAAAAACAAAAACAAAAACCAAACCCTATAGATGATGAGTAGGGAGCCACACAACAGGTGTCAAATAGCCATGAGAGCCACCCAGTCGGCAGCTCTCAGCTGGCACTAACTAGAGGAAGCCCCTCTATCTTTCTCAATTTTGGATTCCTCAATTTATAATACATATCCATCAATTGCTAATACAATTGATAAGACTGTTTTCACTCAACAGGAGGCTTCGCCATATCTGGAGGTAGCTAAGATGCTGGGCCAAAGAACCTCAGCCCAAATGGACAGCATCAGCAACAAGGGTGGTTCTTGTCTTGGTAGTTCAAGATTGGATAGGTGTGTGGAGCCCAGAGCCCAAATATTATTCCTAGAGCAAACCTTGAGTAGTCTCTTGAAGTGCTGAAAGACACGTGGTTTCTGTGACTGCAGGAACCTTACTGAGCTTACACTGTCGTCAGACTATTCCAAATATCCCTAACCTCTGAGAAAGGGAGCAATTAGTAGGTTTCAGAGCAGAGAAGGTTTATTTTAAGTGGCTGAAGCTTTGGGTTTAAATGTCCCATTCACAGTCTTTTTCCCTTTCTTCACCCCCAGTGCTGGGAATGGAACCCAGGGTTTCATAATCACTTAGCAGGCATTCTTCCACTGAGCTCCATGCTCAAAGGCCTTTTTCTTATAACTTAAGTAGTCTATTCCAGGGGTCACAAAAGTCTCACTTGAATATGGGAGGAAGAGCTGGGGATGCTAGGAGGCTCCGATATCTTTAAGACAAGGGGGTATGAATGTTGTTTTCTTCACAGGAGGTGAATATGTGAGAAAAAAGACTGAGGCAGAATTATATTCTTCCATGGCACAACCCACTCTCCCAAAGAGACAACCCAGCTGCTTTACAAGCACAAAGTTCTGTCACCTGTATTCATGATGCATGTGTGCGCGCACCTGCACATGGAGGGCAGCGGTTGATCTTTGTTCCCTACCTTATCTTTTGAGACAAGTTCTCTCACTAAACTTAGAGCTCGCTTATTGATTAGGTCATCATGCCAGTGAGTTCCAAGGTTGAGGTAATAGACTTGCAGCATCATGCCCAGCTTTTTATGTGAGTGCTGGAGATCCAAAGTGAATTCCTCATGCTGAGAGCCTATCTGTCACATTTTCAATGGCAGCCTTCCTCAAAGGGGAATAAGTAAGAACCTTAGCTTCTGTTGGTCTCTCCCATTGCACAGCAGCACGATGACTTTGATAACTGTAATCTTTGTTCTCCAGGAAGAGCATGGCATCTAAGAACCCTGTTTTCATTTTGGCTCTTTTGGTATGGTTGCACTTATCTGATATCCCAACTATGCTAGCTATGGCATACATATCCCTTTCTGTTATTTCTCCTTTCTGAATGTGTACCACGTTTCCTGACCCCATTGTTGAGGGCCCTTCTCCCTCAGATCTTGGTTGGCCTTCTACTTTCTTGTCACTGATGAAATCAACTGCAGATTGTTTGGAGCCCTGTCTCAGGGTCTCAGTTTTGTGTATTACTAATCATGGGCCATGGATAGCCTGCATTATCCCTGAGATGATATGCTCTCCTCAACTATATTGCTGCAGTATTTGTTCTTTCGCCTTTGACAGCTGTGACGCTCTCTTCCTTCCAGGCAAAGACTATCATCTTGGGATGGTGAGAGAGAAATGGAGAGGGGGAAGCTCTATCTTCCTTTCTACTGCTTCGAATATAAACAGCTGCTTGCTCTCTTTACCTATCTGCCCTGCAACCCACATTGGGGACTCAAGTTCAGCCCTAAGTCTGAGACATCCATGGCAGAACCATTCTTTTCCTAAGCGTGATGACTCCATTTCTAGCACCAGAAAAAGGGAAGAGAGGACCTAACCACACCCATAAATAAACTACTTAGAAAGGAATACTTGGTGTGCTGCTTTGTGGTTTGTGGTGCATCTTGATGAACCTTATTTAATGCTCACACCAGGTGGCACTAGTAGGCCCATAGAACAATTAAGAAAAAGGGTATAGAGCACTTTCAGTAACCTGTGAGGGCTTGAATTGCAGTCTGGTCACTTGAATTCCCAACCACAGCTACCTACAAAGGGAAGCCATATAACCCTGTTAAAAGATTTCCCTATTATTGTGCCAAACAAATGAACACACATAATACATGCATACGTACTTACGTATGTACATACATGCACATATGCACACACACACCATTTCTAATCATCTTATTAGATGAGCCAAATCTATGGATCTAGAGTTTGGAGTGTGGTGGTTTTTCCTAAGGAAGAGACTACCAGTTGAGCAGGAACACGGACCTAAATGCAGTACTTACGTCATACACCTGGGGACTGGTCAGACATCGAGCTAGCCAGGCTGGGAGAGTGGTGCTTAGCGGGGGGCCACTGTGGGTGAGGATGGGCTTCAAGTAACTTTAAAGAGGAAATTAAGGAAAAATGGCTGCAATGAAAATATACACAAAACAGAATGCATTTTAAAACCCAAAGAAAAATAGATTATCTGACATTCTACCCACAAAGTCTGCCTGCCTCCCATTTTCTCAGTACAACACAGGTAACCCTTACATCTATAAGAACAAAAAGTGAAGATGTCTCCATGGTGTCTAAGTGCACGTGGGTACTTAGGGTAATGATATCTAATAGTCAGTTAGAAGAATAGTGAATAAATTCAGTCAAGCACAATGGTACACATCTGGAATCCCAGCATCTGGGAGGCTGAGGCAGGAAGATAAAGAGTTTAATGGCGACCTGGGCAACACTATGAGCTTGTCTCAAATAATAAAGCCTCCGAACAATCAATCCAAAGCCAGCCAGCAAACAAACAAGCAAGCAAAAAGAACACTGGACTCATTAGAGTACATATTCCTTACCTAATTTGGTTGCTTTATGGAGAAGAAACCAATGTATGCTTCTAGTTGTGAATTATTTAACTCTTAAATAATAGAAAAACTCTCTGCTAAAAGACAGAAACAAGGGTTCTGCTGGAGTTCTCTGCAGACAAAACATGCTGCTGTGTGATTGCTGGTTTTAAAGAGCAGGCTCCGGGATGGATGTGGGCCACTACAGGGCAGTCGTTTCTCTCCTGTCTTTAGTTAGGAAGGTGGCAAGAGCTTCAATCTCTACCATGTCAAGGGTCAAGCCAGAAGCTTCCTTTCTGTTTCCTGCTTTGGGCACTTCAAAGACTAGCCCTTTTTAATTCATGTTGAGAAGTCCTGGAACAATGCCCTTTAAAAACACATATGCAAATGTGTACATAGTTTCTTAAAATGGGTTTATATTTTAAGTTAGTAAACAAAGTAATGTGTTTCACTGTGGCATTTTCATGCATGTATATCATTTTACTTTGTTCCTATTTGTCCCTTTTCCCCATCCCTCCTATCCTATTTTTTCCTGGTTCCCTACCTCCCCCAAATAGTCCCTGTTTTTGCTGTCATGTCATATATATTTTATTATTCTCTATTTTAATTAAAACTTTATTATAAAGAACTTGCAAATAAAAAAATATTACACACCTAAATGAAGTTCATCAGAATGAACTTCTGTATGGTTAGAACAGCCATTCTAAAGCTTTAGAGTTTCACACTGGATTTTACACTTTCACTAGAGAACATACTTTTAGACACATACCTGTCATTAAAACACGGAAAAATTCATGTGAGTTAGAAGTAAATCCCATGGAGGCTGAGTGATGTGAACCATCCGGAGCTGACACTCTTCTCTCAATATGTCTCTAAACTTTTGCTACTTCTTGAAGTTTTTTTCTCCAACTTTATTTTCCAAATCAACAATTTGGTCTTTGCTATGTACAACCATTCATTACATTGGGGGGGGGAGAGGTTATTTTCTGAAAAACGTGAGACAGGGTCTTATGAAGTCCAGGCTGGCCTTGAAATCCTGACTCTCTTGCCTCTGTTTCTCGCGTGCTGAAATTATAAGCATGCATCACCATACCCAGCCATAAAACTAATTTTTTTGGTGTTTCGAGAAAGGGTTTCTCTATAGCTTTGGAGCCTGTCCTGGAACTAGCTCTTGTAGACCAGGCTGGCCTCAAACTCACAGAGATCAGCTTGCGTCTGCCTCCCGAGTACTAGAAGTAAAGGCATGCGCCACCACTGCTGGCTATAAAACTAATTTTTAATTTCCAAGATTTTTTCTTTTCTTTTTGAACTATTTTCTAACAACTTGCCCTTATTTCATGACTGGAAAAAAAAGCTCCCATTCCTTTCTAAACATTTTATCAGGAAATATTTTGAGTGTTTCTTGTGGTTTCTGTTTGTTTATTTATTTGTTTTTTGACTTCTAAGATAAGGTCTCACACCTTGAAGCTCAGGTTGGCTTATAACTCATTATATAGTCTGTGTTGGCCAGGAACTTTTATATGGGTTTACATCATCATGCCTCGCTGAAGGTTTTTTAACAGTAAACATCTGCAGTTGTTTGATTATTTCAGCATCCCCACTCCTTCATGTATTTATTCAGTATCTTGGTTCATCAGGTAGGATGGGAACCCCTATTACGGTATTAAAAATCAAAACCAGAGAAGATTATTCTGGGCAGAAAAATCTGTTGTCCTCAAGATCTGTTTCCCTACTACTGCCACCCCACCCCACCCCACCCCCCCCCCCCCCCGTCAAGGGTTTCTACTTTCTCTAGATGTCTAAGAAAACTAACAACTATTAGGCAATCTATTGACAAGAAGGAACCGCTACAGCATTCCCAACAACAGTCTTGAATAAATCAGCTAAACAAACTAGCTGAAACTCATGATTGTCTTTGACTCTATTTTGCCTGCCCTAATTCCTTCTACCTTCCTTTGGCTTTTCATGTGACCAAAAATGCCTCTTTTGTGATTTCTGTAAGGCCTGGGAGAGTATGTGGACACATCTTAAACTGGAAGCCTGTCTACCCCATTTTAAGGCTTGTGGGGGAGGGGGTCCTGTAAATCAGTAGGAGTCATTCATGTACAAATCAACTCCCTTCTACACTCTCATGTTACTTAGATGGGATTCTGGAACTCATTTCTGTTTCTCTTCAAACAATCAATTATCACTTTAGCATTTGTCCTTCTGCAGCTGCTCTTCAATGTTCTCTATCTTCTCCAAGCCTAAGGAACAACATGCTTTCTGAATTATCATTTAGACAAAATTCACATGACTTTAAAGAAATCCCTAGGAGTTCTGTTTCAGTTAATAGAAAATATTAACTAGACCAACGAGAAAACCTACACAACAGAAAATGAAACAAGGCAAAGCTCTTCGCCTGATGGCTTCAGAAAGTCTCGGAAGAAAACACCAAATGTGTGAGCCCCACACTTCATGAGCCCCAGTTCCCTCAGACACCCGAGAAGCTGAGGAGAGAATCAGGCAGACTCAGATGTAACAGACTGAGAATGACAGAGACTGGAGGGCGTACTGAGGAAAGAGATGTGAACAGCCCAAGCTTTAGGTTGAAACCCTAGATGAAAATGCAAAAAGAGACACTAACACTCACAGGAATTGAATCCATCTTTAACCTTTCTTGTTGATTGGGTTAAGATGATCTTGAATCCCTATAGCTGATGCTAACTGGGAGCAGTCCTAAACTGAAATACTTAAATCATCTCTGAAGGAGAAACATCATCCAGAGCAACTCAAGTTATCTCTAGATGTCGTCTTTGCTCATGTTTGTCACTGAGAAAAGAAGACATATACACAAAAAAGACAGTTTAGGACACTGGGTGTATGACTTTGAGATGCAATGATTTCTGAAGCAGTACACAAAAGACACTAACAAGAACAGGATCAATCAACCAGATTAAGAGTTTCTGTTCTTCAAAAGACTTAATTTGGAAAGTGAATAGACAAGAGGAAAAGTATTTTTATCAAATATAACCAGCAGAAGGTACAAATTCAGCTAAATAAAAAACTCTTACCAATTAAGAAAATTGCACACAGCCCAATAGACAAATGGGCAAGAAATGTACAAGCATTTCATAAAGGAACATAGTTAATGGCCAGTAAATGTGTGAAGAGAGTTCTCAATCCCATGAGCTGTCACAGAAATACAAATTAAAGCCATAGTAAAATATATAATAAGAAAAATCAAAAGACTGACAATAACAACAACAACAACACATGTGGAGCATGTGGAGCAACTAGAACATTCAAACACGAGGAATGTGTGAAATAGTATTACCTTGGAAAACTTTCTTCTAACACTGAACCTACACATGTCTTAAGGAGTGGCTACAAACAAGATATCCTGACCTAGGGTGTTTCGGGTATTAAGACGGCCTATAGAGCTGAATCCTATCCACCTTGACCAAACATCGGAGAATTCAAGCCTATTCCTGCTCCTTCAAGGATAAGACAGGGAGTGGTTTCCTACAGGGAACTTGGTGTAAGGTGTTGTCACTGCACGTCCTGCCAAAAAAACATCAGAATGCTTAACTCAGGAAATAGTGGCTTGATGTCTCAAGTATTGCAGCAGGTGATTGTTCTGTTTGTCCTTTGTGTCATGTTAAAGCAGTCTTTTGTCTTCTTTCCCCCCCTTTTTGGATTGGGGTACATAAACACAGGGAAAATAAACACAGGCGTATTCAGTATTCACTGGGTAGCCCTCCTGGTTCTAGCCTATGTCTCTGTATTTCTTTCATATCTCTGTTCCTCTTACCTAATTTTTCTAATCTACACACCCCTACCCTGGAATATGTGAACCCTGTCAAGGCTGGACCCCAACAGATGGCGCCCCCATGTGTGGCTCAGACAGTGGATGTTGTCACCAATGTCTCCTGAGCCCAGGAGAAGGCTAAAGGATACTTGTGATCAAAGCTATACCACAGCCTGAATATCCATGCACTCTCCTGCTTTGTCCGGCTTCCTCCAGCAGAATCCAGGCCATCCTAGAACAAACCAGAGAATGCTGATTAGGGAAAGGGATAATGAGAGATGGAGGAAATGCTAGTTTTAAAATTGTAACTGTTGTGTTTTGCAGTGCTTAAGATTGACCTCAGAGCCTTGCACAAGTGAGACAATTGCTCTCAACATGCATGGGCTCACTCTGATGAATATCTTGCATATCACCATAGAACCTTCATCTGGCGATGGATGGAGATAGAGATAGAGACTCACATTGGAGCACTGGACTGAGCTCCTAGGATCCAAATGAGGAGCAGAAGGAGGGAGAATATGAGCAAGGAAGTCACGACTGTGAGGGGTGCACCCACCCACTGAGACGGTGGGGCTGATCTAATGGGAGCTCACCAAGGCCAGCTGGACTGGGACTGAATAAGCATGGGATCAAACCAGACTCTCTGAACGTGGCTGACAAGGAAAGCTGACTGAGAAGCCAAGGAAAGGCACTGGGTTTTGATCCTACTTCATGTACTGGCTTTGTGGGAACCTAGTCTGTTTGGATGCTCACCTTCCTAGACCTGGATGGAGGTGGGTGGTCCTTGGACTTCCCATGGGACAGGGAACACTGACTCCTCCTTGGACTGGAGAGGAAGAGGGAATGGGGGGAGGGGGAGGGAAATGGGAGGAGGGAAGGAGATGAAAATTTGTAATAATAATAAGAAGAAAAATGAAAAAAATGCATGGGCTCATACAACTACAACTTTCCCAGAGCTAGAACTCACAGTGGAGAACCACACACTACCATAGCTTCAAAGATACAGCTCAATGGTAGAGGATTTGTGTAGCATACACAGGGTACTGAGTTTAATGCCCAGAACCACACATGTAGAGATATATTGAGAAGCAATATTCTAGCAGAAATTAAGCAAACACCAAAGGAAAAAACTGAATTCCTAAAGTAAAAAGTTCTAGTCATGTTTGTGGGTAGATGGAACCAATATTAGCATAAAATCTCTTTGGCATTTTATTTTAATAAATGAAGGTACTTCCAAGTACCTTTCAAGAGTTAATTACCTTACTGTAGTCTAGATCCTTGCAGGACAAAATTGTACATGGCCAATGGTAAGAAATATATATATATATATATATATATATATATATATATATATTCCATTGTGGGGATTCTCTTTCCCTCTCAGCCTGTTGGTCACCAGGTCAAGAGGGGAAAGAGGCAGAAAGATTTGTCTACAGCCCAAGAGCACGGCCAAAGACAGCCCTCCAGAAGACAGATTTCAGTAAATCAGCTCAATTTTATTCTAGAGTATATAGGAATATATAGGACTGAGGAGTCTGGGGGAAAACCCTAATTTGCATTAGGTGGTCCGCTCCTATCACAGGGTTCAGTATTTGGCAGAGCTCCTGGAGCAAATCTTCTTAGCAGGCATCTGTGTCAAGGATCAAGCTAAATATAAATCAGGCAGATGCTTTAGGAACAGCTTTTAGATAGGTCAGTCCTCCAAGTCCAGGGACATTCTCCAGATAAGGGCAGGTAGAGGCAGGAAGTGCTGCTGGAGGGAGGGAGCTCCCTGTTGCTGAGCTTATTGAGATAAGCTGCTAGGCCATAGGGAGGCTGTGACCTCTGACCAACCAGCAATGTCTTCCAACATTACACTATCAAAAATCATTTTAAAAAATAGTTGCCATGGTATCTGAGGAATGCTTACGAATGGATATGGAAATGGTCCAGTTAAATATGCCCTTCTGTGGATGAGAAATATACATAAGGAGAAACTGGACAGACAAATATGGGAGAAAGGGGGCATTTGCTGATAGTTGTTTCTCTGAGTAATTGCTAACTAATGACAATGATAGAAAAATTTCAAAATGCTACATGACTGAGTGGAAAAGTGGCAGATAGCCTTTCTATGAAAAAAAACCTAAGTATGTTTCTAAGTTTTTAAAAAAGATTTACAACCTCTCTCTCTCTCTCTCTCTCTCTCTCTCTCTCTCTCTCTCTCTCTCTCTCTCTGAGTGTGTGTGTGTGTGTGTGTGCGCGCGCGCGCACATGCGCGTGCTGGTACCCATGGATCCTCTGTGGCTGGAGTTACAGACGACTGTGAGCCATGCTATATAGGTGCCCAGAACTGAACTAGGATCTTTAGAGCAGCAAGTGCTCTTGTCTGCTAAGCTACCTCTCCACTCTCATACAATTTTACTATAGGAAAATAATAAACATCATAAGGGACACTATAACCAGGGCATCTTAAACTTTTCCATTTGTGTCTGTAAATTCTGGTCTCTGGCCTCCATCTTTGGAGGCCCCGCCCCTGTGCCCCTTGACCCTTGACCCCTTCCCAAGGAGGGTCAAGGTTGCCTGCCAAACCTTGACCCCTCCCCAGAAAAGATCAAGACCACTCCCCCAAGCTATTTAAACTGCTCCCCAAAAAGTAAACACATGGTTTTTCCCTCTCCTCATCCCCCATGGTCAAATTGGTGGCTTTCTGCTTCCCCTCAGGGCCACCCAAGAGTCCAGTAGTGGATATCTTTTAATTTGGTTTGTTTTGATTTGGCTTGATTGGAAATATTCCTGTTTGAAAATATTCCTAACATCTGGAGGTCCCACCAGGTAGGGCGGCCCTTCCTACGGCCTACGGCCACACATCAAAAGCAACCTTGTCCACAACCCAAGCTCTTCACACCAGGCTAAAACCAGCTCCTGGACTACAGCTAATGCGAATGAGTCTTTTTTCTTGTCCATGATATAGGGTTTTGGGGAAACAGTTCCTGTTTACATTTTGTGGATTACCAGGCCCTTGCTAAAGACACAGGCTGCACCAAGGGCCTAATCCCAGCGGTTGAGCCAGGCTTAGCTGAGGTGAATTTTGTTTGTTTTAGTTAGATAGGCCTAGCATTCAATTTTCACGGCCCATTTTTGTCAAAGAGCTGTTTTGGCAGTAGCGCTGTAATGACTTAGGCCACGCAGTTGGGCATAGACTTTAAAATGGCGCTTGCAGTTCAAAGCCAGATAAACTGTCGCCCCTGGGATGCCTCTTTTTTTTTCATTTTACTTTTTATTGAATTTTACTTTTATTTACAAGAACTATGCATTTTGTACTTTCATAGCTGAATATGGGGATTCAATTTTTGATGACCATCATTTCTTTTGAGTACCATAAATGGAGACAGCTTAAATTCAAATATTGATATGAGATGGTTAACCATATTTAAAGAAAGCATTAATGATATTTCAATTGTCATCACTTAAGCTTATCTTGTGTTTTACTAATGCTTAATTTTATCTTCTAAAGCTGGTGTGTTACAGTGAAGTGAGTGGCCATGCATAATTTGTCTTGGGAAACTGGGAAATATTGAGCTCAGGGTTTAGCAAAGGTTTTAAGTTACTTTACTTAATGACTTGTTCTAAGTCAGTGCTTCTCCGAGTTTAATGTACACAGGAATTACCTAGGGATTGATTTTAACTATAGAATAAGTAGCTGCTGCCCAGGCTTGATGTTCTGCATTTCTAACAATTTCCCTGGTGAGGCTGCTACTTACAGTTTGCATTGGTGAGGTTCTCACCCATTTCAGAAAGCTCAGAGTCAACACAACTTTCTGCCAATGAAATCAGAGTGACTTCTAACAACCAAAGCAGAGAGACCTCATAAGGCTGGAAAGAGGGACTGTCCTAATGGCCAGCTTTCTCTTCTGATAGAGAGAGTAGTCATGATTATAGGTGACTAAGAAAAATTATTTAAAGTGAACAAGAACAAAATGAGAATATTTAGTCCTCATTTTCATGAGTGAGGAACACATTCTCACCTCATCACTGAAGAAACAAACAGGGGAAGATGGCAGTCAGCTACAGTCCACTACTTCTGTCTTTCTGTTCCATTTGCTTGATGAGCTCAGGGAACCCCGCATTCTCCCCTGGTGCTATGCAGCCTACCTTCTCCATTTCTACAGGATCAGTGTTCTCTGGTCAAGAAGGCCAACTCTGCCTACTGTTTCAGTTTAAGATGGGCTTGTCTAACCTGAGACAAACTTTTCTAATGCAGGTTATCTTTTACAAGTTTTAGAGTTATTCTTTCTTTTTTTTTCTATTTAAGTAAAATTGCTTTATTCTAACCAACTCACAGATAAAAATAGGTAGGTAAAGGAATCTGTTCACTTGCTCACTCTCAAACCCTATACATCTCTGGGATGCCTCTTACAAAATCTTTTAAAATTGGGCTTGTTCGATACAATATGTACTAAACAACTAATTTCCCTATGGACTAAGATTTGACCTCAATACCATCTTGACAATGGGATGCATTGGTCACCAGAGAAAAGCCTTGAGCTTACCGTCCCTCCAAAGCCTAGAAAATAGTTGTCACTGTGGGGATAAGTGGACAGAGCTTCCCTCAGTAGCCAGTGCCTCGCAACATGGGTCTTGGTCGCTAGGATCGTGATGCCTCCAAATTCCCTGTCATCTGGTAATTAGCACCCCAATAATTCTAGCTGGACCATGCAGCCAGAGGCACTGGCCCCTCCCCCACTCTCTCAAATCTTCACTACCTAACCCAGTCCTGTGAAGCAACATTCTTCACATTCCTCTCCTTCCCTGTCCTCACCTACCCCCTCTCCCTAGCCAAACTGGAGTTCTAGGTCAATTTCCCCCTTACCCACCTTTCTCCCTCCCTCCCCACTCCTACCACATCTCCCCACCCTTGGACCCCCTCGGTGCACTGGGCTAGCCCCTCCCAATCCTCCCCAGTCTCCTTCTATACCAGATCCCACCATAGCTCCACCAGTCTCTGCCCTCTCTGGAAAATGGCAGTAGTCAATGGCATTATGAAAGTCCATGTTCCCTTTTCTCTTCCAGATCTCTCTCAGAGAAGTGGCTGGGTTCCTTTTCTACTAATTTTTCTGTTTATATTAAAGAGTTTCATTATTTGTCCCAGGCCTATGATCTAACCAGGCTACTAAGCCATCCAAGTGTCTACTACCATGGCCCAATATACCAGGCTAGATCCAGCCTCCCCAGCAGGAGCCATGGTCCTGGCTA